GGATGAGTCTACGCTCTTGCATCTATTTTTTTGCGTCTGTCTCACTTTGTCTCGTTGCTTCGTTCGCTTTCTTTGTCACATGGTGTTCTATGACCGGGGTAATAGGAAGGGATCAGTTCTACCAATGAGGGAAGCATTTTACTCTACTTCTGCCATGATGTTAGAATGTTTGGGCTGGTGGGAATTCGGTCCTACAAGTTTCTCAGATGACTTCTTTCCTGCAACGCAGAGTGCTGCGTCTGTCGTCGTTTGGATAGGTCAGTGACACGTGGGTCTGATCTGTTGGGTTTTTGGTTCTAGGTTACTTGAGTCATACATGTTCTGTGCTTTTGTGTTAATTATATTGCTTAATCCGTTAGAAGGATGGTAAAGCACGTTTAGCCTTCGGTATTGCGGTCGCAATAAGCCCACTTACCATCTTCACCTTTGTTCTCTGCAATACTATAAGAATTAATCAGGTCGAAGGAAACTACATACTCGTGAAACGAACCTTCAACCACGATTTCCTTTAAGAGTTAATAAAATACAGCTGGAATCGTGTTGTTTTTAGTTCAAGAGGATGAGAGGAGGAAGGAAAAAGGGGCCAGGGGTGTAGGGTGTAAAATCAGGTTAAATGAAAAGAGTGGCGAGACCGGGGAAAATAGCGTTTCTCAGTGGCTAAATAAAAAGCAAGAGTCGTAGGTTTTAAAGCTGTGGAATCAAGTTGATTAGTTCGTCGGGATTTCGGTGTATCAACGTCCAAGGAAATTCTATTCTTGCCAGAGCGCCGATTTACTATCCCGCTACTTGTTAGCCTTTTTTGCCAGCAGCTGGAAGCACCGGTGATTCAATTGCGGCCAAAGTCGCGGTCGAGTTAGGTATCCGGTGCCTCCTCGATTTATTTCCTGTCGTGGCTCGGGGGCCAAGTAAAGATCGATTAGAGATAGAGATCGACGGTTCGAGCTGATATTAATTCCCCGAATTAGACGAATCTTAGGGATTCCTGCCAAACAGAGTTACAGGATTATCGGAATTATCGGGGTAAATGCAGATCTTGTCAGAGAAGCCGGTGACTTTTTGTGCTTAAATAATCATTTTCTGTTATAACAAGAGAATGAGTGACCTGATTTTGTAGTCATTTTTAAATCTAGGGTATCATACAGGGTGGTCAAATTTTATTACTTTAGCTATTCCGTTTTTAGTAAGTTTATACTTTTCTGTCTTTAGTGACACGGCTAATTTGACAGAAATCAAATGTTATCATATTGAAAATTCCATCTTCGTGAACTATTTATAAGGAAGTAATTTTTATTGATTTTTTTAGATTAAATTTAATAGTGTCCGCTTAAATGTCCGGTAGACGTGGACATTTAAGCGGACAAGATTAAATTTAATTTGAAAAAATGAGGTTTATTTCTTCGTATTCGTAAAGTTGTGGTTTAACTCGAACGAAGAGTCCTGGGAAATTGTGCGGATAATTGATAGATATTTAAGCGGAGAGCACTGTTATACAACGCTTGACGATATCACGATATTTCAACTCTACTCAATTTCTCAATTCAACGACTACACAAGTGATACGACTGTCCTCCGAACGTTCTTGGCTTTGATATTTTATATTTCTTTTTCGCGATGCACATGCTTTCCGATGTTTCCTAGACGTCAAGCTATGTCTGACGCATAGCCCAGAGTTTTTCCGATTTTTCTATCCTTCGAACCTTCGATCCTCGCTCTCTCAATGACTTTCGTAAAGCTACGTGTACATGGTGCAAAGTGTACGCTACTACATCTATTTAGTTCCCGTCTCGATAAAAATCAACCCTTCCGTAAGTAGGCGTTTCCAGGCAGTCCTAAGACGATTTTCCACTTAACTCACTAGCGCCACCGCGGCCCATATCTTCGGTAGAGAAACGTATCTTTCAGAAAGAGACTATTACACTTAGAGTAGCTTTCGGAGAATACTTTGCGACACTATGGCGTTGAAAGAGATGATCTTGGAAAGAGCCGGCGATAAGCTGCACAAGTGAGGGATGAATCGATACACGAACAAGCCAAGTTAACCGATTCAATTTGTCCCGTTGAACTTTCGGCGTAATCGATCGGTTTTCCCACGTGTTGTCGAATTTCCTTCGAGGCGGCTACTAAAGAACGGATCGATTATTCCTTAAGGAGTAAATTCTCGAGGTGCCGCTAGTACCTCGTAAAATGTCTTCTACACCGATACTCGCTCCCTTGTTCCTCCAGTCCACTCAAAGTTCCCGGAGGAGAAGCAATATGCCGTTGAAGGGGCACCACGCCGCTTAAGGCTCCTTCAGAGAAAGTGAAGATCTCTCACTGCTGTCAGCTTTCGCTCGAATGGTCACCAACCGTCGCGTCTCTGGCTGGATAGTGCAGAAACTCATCTTTCAAGAATATCGGCATCTTTGCTATCGCAACTGCAGCTTGTATTTATCTTTCGAGAAGTCACCTTCGATCCCTTTATTAATTCTCCAAGTATACAACGATCTCAGCAACGGTCATACAATCGGGATCGGGGTGATTCTACGTGAAAAAGCAAATCGAAAATAAGAGGTAAAATTTTGTCATTCGAAGCTTCGTTTTCGAGAAAATCGACTTTGAATATTCAGCCGTGAGGATGTGAATACGCTGTGACTTCTTTCCTCGAACGCACTGTACCTTAACAGCTGCTTCGTTTCTCTTAAATCGTCGTGCAGTAGTCACGCGACGAACCAAGATTACGGATGCAGTAAGGGAATCAGGATTCTTTAGCGTTCGATGTCAAGTTTGGATTATCTGACAAGCTTGGGTTCCGGATTTCCTCGGTTTACTGACCAACTTTGTGGTCGTCCTGCCAACTCGCAGACGTTCATTTCCTTAGCATGCCCTTCGACTGCCGAGCGACCGCAATATCTGCGATACAGCACTCGCTGTAACGATCTTCGGTCGTTCCCTAAAACTGTCATTCGCTCCTCCGTGAAACCAGGTCGTAATCTGGCTGACAAAATCATTTGACAGTCGAACCACTTTCGGTACGTCGTAATTCGGGATTATACGCGTGACTTCGACGCGGAGGATTCGTTGGCGGGACTGGAAGAAGCGCAGTGGTAAATAGAATTCAGATTTTGCTAACAGAATGATTGTTTGGCTTGAGCTCCAGAGAGCCGAATCTCGTTGGCGGACGGTTGACAGTTGATCGCGCAACGCTCGGGGCAAACATTGACAGTAGCAATCGTCTCTACAGCGCGGTCTTGTTATTCCCGTGGCATTTTGCAGCGAGGAATAACAGGTTTATCCACGCGACTGGCCAGAGCAAGAGACGAGGCAGCCACGACTGTGGGGATTCCTCGAGTTTCCCGGATTCTCTTTGGTCAGTCACGATTTGCTCACCAACCCTGGTTCCGTGCTTGTTCAATTTTCGACGACGTCGCGTTAAGAGGGTTGTACATTCTTGGCCAAATACGTCCACGTCTGTAAACGAAACCTGTTTCTTACTCGTCGCGGACGCTAAAAGTCTCGAGTCCGTTTTCCAACTCGTTAAAATCTCCAAGTTACTAGTCACGCGACCAGCAGTCTCAACTGACAAAAGTGTTGCAGCAGTCGAAAAGGGAAACGAACAGGTTGTAGTGGACGCATCTTAAATTAGGGGTCCAAAAGGATCCACGTATATAGGACACCCTGTATTTATTACATATGTACAGAATCACAGGAACATTGCATAAGCAACTTATAATATTAGTCGAGAGCACTATTAATTAAGAAATAAGAATTCTCAATGCATCGTTGGATAGAAATTAAAATCAGAGAAGCGAGTCTTATATGATAAAGTACTGTTCTTACGCGAGAAGAAGTGACATCGTGTTTCCATCCCCACTCCTGTTGCAGTCCGCTCCCCCTCGTACGATCGCACAGGCAGCGATCGCTATTGGCCGAAAACGATGACGAAGATCAACGGCAAATCGTAGCGAGACCTAGTGAGACAGAATAACGGCATCATCGGCATAATCTTCCAATCGAAATATTAGCTATTCTGTTTGTTAATAGCTGAGTGTTCTGTCTCGCTCTCGCTACGATCCGCCGTTGATCTTCATCGCCGTCTTCGATCAATAGCGATTACTACTGTCTGTGATCATACGAGAGTCAGCGAACTGTGACAGGAGTGGGGATGGTATCACGCTGTCCCTTCTCTTCGCGGAAGAATAGCGAGACAGCGAGAGCTTGTTAGCTGTGTGCAGTGACTGTAGCAGACGTGTGGCCGAGAGAGATGGCGCTCTGTTCGTTTCGTCGAGATTTATTCCGTGGCGTATCGCGATGCTTCTCGGAACACGGAGACGTCTCATCAGAACGGTTCAATAAACGATACGCTTTTCCGAGCAAGTAGACGCATTCCGAAGTAGCCGGCCTTTCGTTGATTGCACGCGACGCGAATTCCTTCGAACGGAATTCCGGACCATGTAGAAATTGATCCAATCGGTATTCTCTCGGTCATGTCTTGCTTTCAAGAAACAGCATCGGATATATCGGTATCGAGAGATCTCCGTCCGCTGTTATTGGATTTCATCCGACGGACCGACCTTCCCCCTGTGTCTAACAATAAGATTGAATTTGAGCACTGCGAGAGCAAAAACAAACGCTCTCTTTCAACCGATGGATTCTCTGTGTCATTTAAGAGAAACATCCAGGTTACTGTTCTGCGTTAACCTTTTATAACACCCTGGAACATAGTGGTTACGTGTAACTGGTTATACGACCCAACTTGCGAGATAGTCCTCGAACCTTCTTCAAGTAGGAATCCATCTATTGGCAAGGGTGAGAATGACGTCGCCACATGTCATTCGACCTAGCTTCGAGGAACTTATCAATTTTCCTCGAAGCAAAAATAAATAGATGCAGGGTGATGTCATCGGAAATAAAGATTTTCGATGGCTCTCACACTAGACTACGTTATAGTAAATTGTTGGATGAAACGTTATGTAAGTTTTATTGGTGAACAGGAAAAGTGAAAGTGTGCTCTCTGATTCCAGAACCGGTGACAGAGATCGCAGGGGGTCCAGATTTGTTCATCAACAAGGACAGCACGATAAACCTGACATGTCTGGTGAAATATGCTCCGGAGCCACCGTCCACGATCGTCTGGAGTCACAATTACGAGGTAAGCGGGATTTTCCTAACCTAACCTGACCTCGCCCGCTATTTACGAGTACCAAGGACCAACGAGCCCCTCGAGATACAGAAGGGCTTTCAAATTTTCTGGCTCGCGTGTTTGCGGAGAACAGCTATCCTCGCGATAAGCTGATACATTCTCCGATGTTCCGCCATAGCATTAAAAGGAATCGCCAGGAATACGTGTACTCCGGGTCCATTGTTATCCTATGATATCGATTACCACTGCAGTCGAAAGCGTTCCTACGAGCCGCGTTATTTATGAAGGCTGCTAACAAGCTCGCGATTGTTCCCGAACAACGATTCGTAGAGGGCAGCACGTAAATAAAGACAGCCCGAACGTAAATTATTCACGACTGAGATAAAGCTGCTATTGATTGAGGGACGAGGATCCTGTCATGGTGCGCGGGTAGGGAACGAATAAAACGTAACTCCTCGAGTTCAGATTCAGACTAATATTACATTATTTTTTGTGTACTTCGGTATTTATAATAACGTTCTGGCTGTGGAGCCGTTATTAGTACTGTTGCGTCATGGGTCCTGGGGATGGCTATCTTTGTAGTGGCAGTTCGAGTAATTCATTAGAGCTGTATCAAATGTCTGGGCCTACTGGCCGGCTATCTTGTAGTGCGTCACAGATGTGTCACAGAGGCAGTGGTTGTGTCCCCTGTATGTTTATCCGGCCTTGTTAGATTTAGACTGCGTCACAATCCCGATATCGTCTATAGTGATTTATTAGGAAAAATACTTTCAAAATTATTTGATTTTTCGAAAATCTTCCTCTTCGATTCGATAAAAATTTTATAATTTAAAATGTCAGAAAAACTCGTATCAAATTATGACTCCCAAAACCGCTTAACTTTTGTCTAAAACATTTCCTGGTACCAGCAACAATTTCAAAGACGTCCGAGTAAGTTGATGTAAATGGACCACCCAACACACGTATGTGTATATATTTTTCGTAGCAAAAGGGTTAAAGCGCGAAACACGTCGCGTTAGAGTGCCGGAGAGAGTGTAGAAAATACGAATATAACACGGGGCACAGTGGCGGCTAGTTCGTTTTTGCAAAAACACGGAAACTGAGAGTAGCTTTCAGAGTCGGTTCCGCGGCTAGCCTGCATCTCCACGTAGGCTGAGAACGTGTTTTAGAGACATTTGTCCCGCAATGCATTTCGCCACTTGGACGAGACACTTCCCGTCACCACTTGTCCCCCTGTCTGCGGCGTGAAGTAGCTTTATTCGGCGGTAGTCACGTGACGGGTCGGGTAGTGCGACGCGCTGTCTGTCTTCTTTGTTTCGCAGGCGATTAACTTCGACTCGCCAAGGGGCGGCATCAGCCTGGTCACGGAGAAGGGGCCCGTGACTTCCAGTCGTTTGCTTATTCAGAAAGCCATCGAAAGGGACTCCGGATTGTACACCTGCTCGCCCAACAACACGCACGCCAACAGTGTGCGGGTTCACATCGTCAATGGTAAACACGCATACGATTCTCTTAAGGGTTATTCTAGTCTAGAGCTCGAATTTTTTAAGTATTTGGGAACCATTATCATTATGTATTAGGTAATACTAAACTACCATTAGTTATTAGGTAACCCCTATTTGGGATATTTTTGGAGGGAACCATAAAGACATTATTGTATCGGGATTTGTGGCGTGGTTTTGACCTATATTTGAGGAGTATACGTAATTTTTTTCGTGAAAAAATATTGAAAATTGTCGGAGATACAGCTAGTTTAGTAGTGTCCCTTCGGTTGAACATACCCGCACGGTTGTCACGATTCCGGGCTGTTTTTCTCTGAAATGGACAAACAAACGTCGATTCTGTTTGGTATGAACGTGACTATCGTCGGTACCAAAAGTCTAAAAACATTGAAGACAACATTTTTGGCAGCACTTTAAAGCTAGGTTATCAATGTTTTGTGCTTTTTCAACATTAATTTTTCAATTATTATCATTAATTTTTCAAATCCAACAATATCCGTTAGTAGAAATATATTTTCCAAGATACGTACTTACAGAAAATGCAGTGAAAAAGAAAATTGATTTTTTGGAGGTTCTAGGCTAGAATATCCCCATAAGTCCGTCCAAAGAGACCACATACTATTGTTTACATTAACACTAAACCCAACCCAAACCCTATCCAAAAATCGTTTTTATATATTTGAATACAAATTTAGCACTCAACGTTGACGCTTTGAGCCATTTGATTGGTCGATTTTTTTCGATGTGTGAGTATCATCAATTTTTCAATATTTTTCCTTCTTTTATTTTTCTATATTTCGGTCCTTTGACTGGTCGTGATGGATTCAGTGTTAACGTCTTCAAATCAGCCATAGACACAACGTGAAATGATTTAGTTCAAAGATTTAGTTCCAATAGCTTTCCATATAAAAAAGTTACTAGGTAAAATTAAGAGATACTAACTTTTACGATATTCGTTTATGCCATATATAAAACAGCAGTATCAAAACGTTTCTAAAATAAAAAATAATTGTTCCTTTCAAATATATTTCTAATCGCGGAAATATAGTTAAAATAGTTAAAAATTTTGTTTCATTTTGTTCCGTTGAAGTATACGATATTCCATTTTCTACGTTCCCCGCAGTCAGTCTCCGAAATCGCTTTTCCCATATAGCACGGCGACAGTGAAAATTAAATACGGCCGTGTTTTAGCCGAAGGAAGGATGCACGACGACATTATTGCAATAACGCGGGAATTGTCTCGGTTCGTTCCGTTGTCGTCCGCCAGAGCGCGCACGCGGCGCGGCACAAACAAGTTTCGTAAACCGCGTAATCAAAATGAAATCTTCGGCGTACAAGTTCGCCCTCTTCGTGCGACATCGGAAGGAGCCGGGAAACTTCGTGGAAGAGTTCGTTGCGAACGAGCGCGTCGCGCGTTCCAACCAGTTTCAGAAGTTCCGAAATTTCATTTACGCATCGCTCAAACATATTAGAAGACGCTGCTCGTGAACAATTACGCTTAATTGTATAAACCAAGTAGAGATGTCGACGCGTCCGCTCTCAGCGTATCGATCGATAAAGAAGAACGCTTTCCCACCACCGTGAAACGATTACGCCGCGCGTGAGTGCCGTTTCCTGTGTGATTCGTTACGTTAGCGGGGAACTTGGTTTTTACATGACATCGTAAATTTCCGTTTGTTGCAGAGCATCCAGCAGCGATGCATCACGGCAGTGGCGACAGAGTGGCTGCGACCTTACTTACCCTCGTTCTACTTCTTTTCATGATCATTTAGCCGGTGCTCGGTTTTTATGCAGGGTTTTAACTGCCGTGCAAATTGCGCGTCATCGACCCAAATCGATCGAGTTTATCTTCGTTCCGGGGACAAACGTCAACTTCCTATAGCCCGTCTGAGCATCGGTTTCACATCGATCATAGGGATATATTTTCAAATAGAATGCTACTTTATAGATAGCTTATGAAAATCCTTCTCAATTCTTCACTCGTATTCTCAAGTTTTTATTTCTCTCTGTTATACTTATTTTGTTATTATAGTTCTCAATTACAAAAATAAATCTTGACAAAAGCTTTGTCGGTTCGGTTTCGTTTTAAAGTACGAGAGAAAAGAAAATATCGTACTGTTATTTTTATTCAAAGACTGAATTTAAATTTAATTTAATTTTTAATATTGTCAAAGATAATAGCAAATACAATAGTGCTCCGATGATAGGTTGGAGGGGCAGTTTCGTTCCGGACAAAGGAGGAAACAGTTCTGAGAATTAATGGTTTGGATTTGATTCGCTTGCTCTTAGTAAGAGCGAGAAACAATGAGCTAGAATGAGATAGAAAGATTCGACGGTTGACGACCAGCGGTAGTGTCGAATATAAACATACAGAGTCACGGTGGCGCGAGTAATTCGGGAAAGTGGAGAGGATGGATATTTCCGCGTCTGTCGTCGAGGCGTGACTGACCTAACCTACCCGATTAAATTTCTTTCCCTTCGTTATAAAGCGTCCGTACATGTATATAGATTATATCGAACCACGTTCGCTTGTTCCGTATATATATCAAAAGAACACGTCACACATTTTTAACACGGCTGCACGTGCTAAATCGTTCGGTCGTTAAATAAAAAGTCCAATCGTTTCCTTTCGCGGAGGTTACCAAGCGGGAATCGCGACAACCGTTTCGATCGAGTGCAACGAATTCGTTTGCTGCCGTGAAATCGTTGGAAACATTTCACGGGTCGGGCAGATTTTTTTAACAAGCCCTCGCAATGATTTTTCCCGCAAGTACGTGGCCCTGTCCCTGTGTACGTAATCCCGAATAGGTAACCGAGTTGCAATAGAGCGACTGCTATCGAGGCCGGATTTAATTAAATAAAAACACGGCAGAGGCACGTTGCCGGAGGAACGTCGCCGTGGCGTCCAATAATAAACCAGCGTCACCCACGCCGTTGAAACTTACGCGTTGTGCTCGCAATTTCGATACGTTTACCTCGAGGAAGATAAGTGTCGACGCGACTGCCATCCTGGCAAACTTATACTTCGTTTCTATCGTCGGGAAATAGAATCAACGTCAGCCTGAAGAGCGCCTAGTCTTTCGCGTATCGCGTCGGTAATCGATACATGAGAAAAGAACCCGAGATGTGAACGAACATTGATTAACGAGAGCATGTTGCATATCGGAGATAATGATCCGCGAATGTTTGGAGTAAGACATATAATTGTCGAAGCGAGAATTTGTCAAGTATGAAAATGGAGAGAGAAATTGAAACGGAAAGAAAAATTGGACTATATATAAGCATATACTCTGCGTTGCTTGGATGACTCCCGTGACGTCAGAGGGGCAATAGAAGGTGGTGGGGGTTACAAGCAGGCAGCGTCTACAATTCGAATCATATAGCATGGTGTGACGAAGACAACGAATAAGTAGCTTCGAGACTGAGAGAGACACATAGCTAAGGAGCGATACGATGCATTGGCGTAGACATAGAACGAGTATCAGTCATAAATATGAAACAAAATCCGTAAAATAAGAAATTTTTAAATAGAAATTTCAGAGACTACGAGATGAAGCCTACGTATATCTGTTGCTCCTATGCCGTAACAAAAGACTTCACGCTGTACGTATAGTTGTACTGTAACTATACCACAGTTTTCCACACGTTCTTTAGTCTAGTGTCTAAATAATTTAATTTCTCATTTCTCTTTTTTTTTCTTCACGCGAGATTTATCGTCAGGGAATGGAGTCGAATAAATCTATGAATACGATATGAAACGTTACTATTTTAAACGCATTATGGAAATGAAAGCCACAGCTACCGCGTTGCGACGGGTACGATGGACGGACGATCGAGTGGGAAATCTAAATACGAGTTTTATTTGAGAAATAAAAGACCGCGTCAGCGGCACGAGTCGAGTGCGACGCACAGCGCGGGTTAAGGAAAAAGAGTGTTACGAGGGGATTAAGAAAGGAAACGGAGGAATGGTTTACTCTGTGGGACTATTCGTACTGATTACTACTTAATTTTACCCCTTTCACGAACCCGTTGAACCATCGTCACTACAGCCTTTCTCCACGAGTTACCGCTACTTTAGTGGGTACTTCTGCTACTGCCAGAATAGAAGTATGGCGGCGGAACGAATACAGCGACGTACCCGCTCGACGGGGTGCCCTGTCCAATCGAAGGAGGGGTTCCATCTTACGCTTGCATTATGAGGAATTAAATTTAGAATTCGTTGTACCTTTATCGTCAGTGTTCTTAGGACATGTCTGCGTGAATGTAAATACTCGTACTGTTATGTACATTATTGTAACTGCCATATACACCATATATAATGATCACGTTTTTTGTTGTACCTAAGGGACCACGAAAGCTAAGCAAAGACAGACGGTCCAATTATTCTCATCAGCAGACACTATTGGAATACGAAAGACGAATGTTTGTGTGAATGGTACGTGTCCTAGGTAATATGTGTACACCGAGGAAAACGCGTTTGTTGCCAAGGAATGTGAAATTGGTGAAATAGATTAATCGTTATCTTTGCCACCACGGAGTGGTATTTTTCTTTTCTTCTGAGTCTTCGATGACACCTGAAACCGTGTTCCATTTACGTCTCGTGTGCTAGGTATTCACGATGTCAAAACAATCTTTTTACCTGTATCAAGGATAGGATAAGATTTCACCTTCCATTGAGGATCTCCCTTGGGTAATAAGTCAGCAACATCAGGGATTCCCTTGGAAAAGGAAGTCACCTCTTTTGCTGATACGTGAAAGATAAAAGGAAAAGATATTCCTCTGGAAAGCAGCAGTGGTCAATCGACATAGAATTTGGGGAAGGTAGTGAGAAGAGTAAGTGGACAGAAAATATAAAATTTTAGATTCAGGTATTTATTAACTATTTACAGTTCAGTGAGAATTATGGGAATATTGATAATCTATAGTGATGTAATTAATGTTTAGATAAATACATTTTTTTTTTTTTTTTAATCAAAACCTTAAAGTTACTGGTCATTAGAGTAAAAAAATTTTCCAAGTGTAAAGGTTAATAAAAAGAAAAAAAAATGTCACTGTACATTGAATTTTGCCCATACATGTGCATTTATGAAACCTCGCAATAGCATAAGTGACCGTACTCTTATTTAACCTAAACCAATACTGTCATTATTGTGTCATCGATTACTTGACAGTCGATGACTATTTCAGCAGAGACAATTATACTACTAACACTAGTATAAACAAAATTCAATGTACAGTGTCGAATGTTTTCTAATACTAGAGCTACTAGCTTGTTTAAATTTTCTATACTCTCTGTATACTAAGTCCACATCTACTCCTTTCCACTCTTCACCAATAGCTTCTTTGTAACTTCCAATGGTTAATTCCAAGAAGAGCAGCTCAAAAATGGTGTCGTCTAAAATAAAATTATTTGCATACTAAAAATATTATACCGTCACGAGAAAGGAAAAAAAAAACTGAGAAAAAGTTACGCAATGCGAGTGACAGGTTCAAATGTCAAAAAAAAGGAAATCAACAGCGGCCATTTGTGTCGGTTGGTCGAATTCGTTGGTAACAAACGCGTAAAACGAAATGTAAACATCACGTAACGCGATCCTTTCGCCCGAATCACAGCAGACACGTAAACTACGTCGTATATTTCACGTTATACAGTTGTAACACAATATCGTTAACCATAAGCGTTTTTACAAGGCCGAAGAAGCGACGGGAGTAACATGTATCTATATATATATATAAACGTATAGTAGCCGTCGGAACGGATCGTGAGCTCGATATTTAATATCGTTAGTCGAAAATTGAAAGGGCTAGCCGTTACGTATTCTCTGTTTACGAGGTTTTTTACGAATGTACATAGTTAAGGACCTAGGACTTTATAGCGAATATTCTTATTCCCTCGTTGTAGTAATTTATTAAATTAAAGAAAAATTCTAACCTCTTTGGTGTTGTTTCTGCGATTCGTTGAAACGAACGATATCGTATACGATTCGGAAAATCGAGAAATGGAATTATTCTTATCGACGGTGACCATATCATTGAAACGGTATTTTCTTCTAATTTCCTTGATTTAATCTGGCATCGCATTTTCATTCTTATACATATTCTATGAGAACCTTTAAAAATGCATAAGGTTGCCGACGGTGGTGTATTTAATTAGAAATAACCTAACCACTTTCCTTTCGTTGCACAGAAAACGAGAAACGAATTAAAGCATCTTCGTGGTGAAATTTTCTTATTAGAGGAAACGAAGCAACCGTAGAAATTTAACGAATGCGAATAAACCGTGGTTTTTCTCGCGTCGAATTATGAAGACTGTGAACGGCGAAGTAGCGCGAAGGCTTCGAGCCGAACTGAGCCGAAGCGGGCCGAATTCAGCCGAACCGAGTCAAAGTCAACAACAAACCGAAGTTTGTAGTTTTAATTATTAATACTCATTTAAGCGGATCTTTTAATAATTAATATTAAACTGCAATGATTTAACGTAAAATGGAAATATTTTTATTTTCTTCCAACAAGTGTTATCTTGTTAATTGTTAATTTTATTTCGTTCTACTTCCATGTCCTAGTATATTCATAATAAACGCAAAGCTTGGTAAATCATGTTTCGGGTTGTTCGAAGTGCTCATGCCATTTTTAACAATCGATGCATTCTACCGTGTATTTGAGGGGATTATTATAAATTCTGAACAAACATTGACATACCGTATCGGGACAAATCCTACTTTCCAGTCCAGAATTAAATTTAAAAATTAAAAATCTCTCGTTTAATCGAAATGATTGGAAAACAATTTTCTCTTCTACAAAAATACATTGTCCCCGAATTTTATTTTAAATTTCGAAAAAGAGGAAAGAAATAATCGAGAACAACCCGGTACATCTCTATTTAGAGGTTATAAACAATTGTGTAAAATTTGAGACGATTATCACCGTTAGTATTTCAATAAAAATTCAGAAAAATTTCAGTTTTTC